GAAACCAGCTGCAATTGTTGAGTGGAATTGTTGTCCCCTTGACAGTAGCTGTGTCTTTCTGGGAAATTGATGGCAAAAAGCAACAGAACGCCTTGAAACACAAGGAGAAAGGTACAGCACTCTGAATTTCAGAAGCAAAGCAGTGAGGCTGAAGGAGTAGTACAGGCCTGGCTGTAAGGTCCCTGAGTTAGGCAGGGATATTTGGGGCTAAGTGTACCACTTGCCTCTAAACAGCAACATTTCTGAATGTCTTGCTGTCATCTAATACGTGTTGAATGAGAGCAATGTGTTTGCAACATCAGGTGGTTTCAGGCTAACCCTTTCCAGAGACGAGCTTATCTGTGCGTGGAAGACCTAGCTGAACCACGTCTTCCACTTCCTTCGTGGACTACTTAGCTTAGATAACAAAGCTGTTGAGTTAAGCTGTACACTTACTGAGGCAGGATAGGTGAAAACTAACATGCAGTTTGTAGAAGCTGCGGTTTTGACTAGCTGCACTTAACTCAGAAGGAGACTGCATGATCTTCACTTGACAGTAAGACAATACCTGCAGAATTTTAGACCCTTTTTTAGCCTTCAAGGGTTGAATCCTAGATGCTTTCTCTGGTGTGTACTGTTCCATTGGGGGAGGCTGCCATCCAGAAGACTGAATACCAAGTTTCTGAGGTTTTACTTTATGTGGATCCAAGCTGCTCTATAAATCCAGAGTCTTGGAAAATCTCCTGGGAGAACGAAGGAGGGAGAAGATGACATCAGCTGGAAGCTTCCCAACTCATTTTGCAACTCACATGCAGACTTCAATTTTATAAAATTCAGCTGAATTTTAAACTTGGATGAAGTGAACTTCTTGATAGATTTAGTATCTGTTTCTGGGCAGGCTAACTAGTCAAGGTGTTCGGACTGCATAATGCAACAAAAGAATGTGAAACTGCTTCCTTACCAGATAACAGCCTGCATGGCTGGCAGGACTCATGCATTTCCAACACAGGCAGTTAGTTCCTACTTGCCCTGCATTGTAGGATATGAAACATGTGCTGCAAGAGTCATCTAATCTCATGTACCCATAAATCCAGGTGTCTTGAGGAATCCTACAAACTCCATAGGAGTGAATGCGTGAGGAGTCTGCCTGAAGGTCGTCGTACAACTGTGCACAAAAGCCTAGGACTTAATCAGTAAGTCATGAACCTGAAGGTCTGAATGTCATACCATTTCTGCTATAGGTTGTGATCCAGGCCTTGCTAGACCTTCACCTGACCTGCTTCAGCAGGTGACAAAGCTATGAGACTGGCCTGAAGAGGTGAGGGACAGAGGCTAAGGATCTCTTCTTTTTACTTCAGAAAAAGCTTTGAAACTTAAGGTCTTCATGGATACTCTCTAAGACTCGAAGAATGTCGTGACAGACCCTGTCCTCCATCTGCCTGGCTGCCAGAAGCAGCCTCCCCTCTTCCCCGCTGTGGGACTACTCAGATTCATGGCAGGCTGGCTGCACTGTGAGTAACAGTGCTGTGGCGAAAAGGCTTTTTTATCTGCAAAGAGCTTTGTGAGCAGTAGGTACCTGTTGGGACTTGGATTGTGCTGATCTCTGATAATGCGGGTAGGTACTTAAAACAGTGGCTGAGCAGCTGTGTGGTGCACTAAAGGTGAAGCTGATGCGTGAGTCCCTGGCACTGAAGTCGGACTCTTTGTAATGTAAAAAAATTAATACTATCAGTATTTCAGATGCTTGTGGGTATGATAACTACACTGATAGGTAGCAGTGCAGAAGGCTGCAGATCTCCTTTCCTGCTAGGCTCTGCAGGACATACTCCTCTTTCTGTGGTAAAAGCAGACTAGAACAGGTGATACAGTCTTGGTTCCACAACTGCAAAAATCCTCCAAGTCCCATGGAAGAAAGCCAGTGCCAATTAACATGACGAGGAGGTACTCTGCTGAAAGGATTACAGCCTGAGACAACTTAGATTGCTAGGCCATCTGCTGTGACACTTCAAAGCCTACCTCTTTCTAGCAATAGCATAGGACTTCAGCAAACTGATCCTGCCTACTGTTAAATGAAGGTTCGGCAGTCGTAAGCACTGTTCCTTGTGCAGTTAGCTAGGAGGCTCCACCCATTAAGAAGGACAAACAGCTAGCTTCTAATTTGGCCTTCAGCGACTGAAAACTAGCCAAGTAGCAGGGCGTGATGCCAGCTGTGACTGCCAGGGGAGGGTTCTGCTGTTGCAGATGAGGCAGTATAGCATGTATAGTATATGTATACTTTCAATGTACACATCCCCTATCCTTCCACCCCCTCCCCCAGCTAGCAGCCCTCCCTGCTCCTAATCAGAGTTTGTCCAGAAGCTTTACTTGATCTAGGTCTGGGGTGTTTCATCCAAGGCTGAGATCAGGTAAAACCATCACAGCCTTTATTTTAAGACCTGAGATACTTCACAGGATCCATGACTGCAAGAACACACTCAAGTAGACGGAAGTGGATTCCAGCCTTCACAAACCTCTGTCCTGCTTAAAAAGTGCAAGGCATGCTAGTATGATATTGGTATCTCCCAACAGAATTGGTGAGGAGAGTTGCTAACTTCATGCAAGTGGCAGCAAGCTCCATCTTTGGTCCTTCCTCCAGTTGTTCTGACACTGTGATGCAGAGTTTTCATATTTTAAGCCAATTCCATCATATTCTTTGAGCTCTCTTTTGGAAGGTTTTGTTACAAGCTTCTGAGATCTCCTGTGCAACCAGGCTTAAGCTGTTTCTGCAAGTTAATTCATTTCCATACTGGAAGCTTAGAATTTGACTGGCTCCAGTTCTGGCACAACTTGTCTTACACTAATGCTTATTGCACATGGGCAATGAAGAGCTGTGTTTTCCTTTTGGAAACAGGAACAGATTTGTCTACAGCTACAGCGGAGTCCCAGGGTTTGCTTTGCTCTTTACTCTGCTCAGCCAAATTCTCCTGTCTAGCTGAACTGCAGATTTTCTGAAGCCATCTCCTGTTGCGAATCTTATCCCGTCTTCTGCTTATTCTGTTTGTGTAACTCCAACAGAACCCCTTATCTGCTGAGTTATTGTAGCATTGCTTCTTCCTGTTGTACACGCTTCTGCTATGTTGAGTCTGAGCCAGATGCTTGTGTAGTTCAAACTGCCGACCTCATGTATGAGCTGGCAAGCTGTGCCATGCTCATCCTGCTCTTTTGCTCTCTTAAGAGAGCATTTGAGTGCCTACCTTCCAATTCTTGCTTACTTGCCAGTTAAATATGAAATCTCTCATCTGTTGGCAACCGCTTCTGAGCATTAGCTAGGAGAATGCATCTAACCTCTCTGTTAGTAGACAGTAGTTTAGATCACTCCTTTCCCAAAATGTCTTGGCTAAAGCATTATTCTCCCTACTTCATAAGGCAGTCCTCAAGGTGAAGAGAAATACTACCACAGTTCTGCAGGACTGCAATAGGCAGAGGGCTGTCTATAAAATCCCGGTACTCCCATGATGGGTTTGTGACAAAGACTGGTAGGAACTTACCCCTGTTCTTACTCATTGTCACAGGCAGACCTTCGTAAGTAGCTTTGACTTGAAGCTCTCACCTGTAATTCTGAACCCTTGAACAAAGGAGGACTTCTTTTAAGGAGATGGGGACTACCCTTGTCCAGCTGGAACATAAACCACAATTGCATTAGGAATACTGATGGACGAAGGATCTTACCCAAACAGGATTGCTTTGCTAAGATTACATATTTCATTTAGCCACCTAAAGACTGTGTGAAGCTGAGGCTAAGCAGTAATTCTAAAACTAATACACTCTAGTTAATATGCTGCTTAGCTGTAATGATGTTTCTGTGTCTAGCAGCCAGAGGAACCTTTGTCCTTACAAGGGAAACACTCTGTGGTTAAATCTATTCTCGTGCTACTAGTTAAAACAAACAAAAAGCTCCTCTCCTCTGAAAAGAAGAGCCATGGATCTGTGGGACTTTCTAATACTGTTGTCAGATGTTCCTACGTATTGTACAACTTGTCACATGCTGTCAGTTCCCTCTGCTACAAAACCAGAGCAGAGAACACTGCAGTGAAGTTTCTGTGATATTTATGCAAGGTGGAGTAACGACTAGCTGTATGGAGTAGTTGGTCTATATCAAAGTGTGCGACTCGAAGGTGTGGGAATGTACCAAGTTAGCTATAAAGAGGTTTGTGGTGTGGTTTTTTTGGTGTTTTTTTTTTTTTCCCCTGATGCTGAGTCAGTTTCAAGGAATTAGACTTCCCAAACCCTTGTGCTTCTCTTCCTAAAATAGCCACTTGCTGGTTCTTCTAGCCTCTGTCTTCCCTAGGCACTGGATGATACTCTTGGAGTTTGGAGGATGGGAATGAGGACCTCTCCAAGCAAAACACAGTGTTTTCATTGGCCTTAGGACTGCAAAAGGGAGGTGTGGACAGACACTGGTGCTGGAGTGTATGATCTGTGAGGACAGTAGAGGAAGGAGGGCAGTCTCTGACTGCTGTCAACATGTTTGGAAGTTAATGGACTTGATGGGAAGCCTCTGATACAGGTTTGCCTTCCTTCCTCTATTATAGGAGTCTCCAGGGGCGAAGGCTGACTGCATTCCAGTCAAGTGAACTGTTGCCACTTTGCCTGAAGCCTAACTTATAAGTAGGTCTCTTGATTTGCCTAGCTGTTTTGTTTTCAGAGTCTAAGTTGGTTCAGTCTCACCAGGAACTGTTGGTTCAGCAATACTTTTACTTCCTCATGAATAGAAACCAGGTTGCACCATTCTAAGGGGAGGTATGGTGGTAATGTGCTTTCTCTTCAACTTGTGGAACAATAGAACAACCTAATGCTCAAAGCCCAAACCTTAGGGAATTGCCCAGGTGTCCTGGAAAAGGGTGATCCTTGGAGCTGCTGAAATAAATAGCCCTTGTAATATATCAGTGAAGCTTGTCCATGGCATCTTTGAGAATACTGTGCTTTACAGTGAATCTGTTCGCTTATTAAAAATCTGCTGTTTTTTCCTCTCTTCAATACAGGATCTCAGTCTACCCAATGGCACACCTGTGGACACTTCTAGCCCAGCCTCCTCCTCATCTCTCCTCAACAGACTGCAGCTGGATGATGACTTGGATGGGGAAACTAGAGATCTCTTTGTTACTGTTGATGATCCCAAAAAACATGTGTGCACAATGGAGACATATATCACGTACAGGGTTACAACAAAGGTACAAAGCAGCATTCTCCTTTCCTAGTACTTTTTTCTTTGGGGAGTTTTTTTTAGGGCATGTTCTGGTCATCTATGCCTTACATTGTATTTACTTATCTTAAGGACAAGAACTTAGTGTCTTTCAGTACTTTTGAATGTGTTGAAGGTGTGACTTCTCTTAGCAGAACTGTTACTACTTCAGTATACGAAACTATGCAAAACTTTTAATGTGTCAGCTTAGATTTTTGTCTCTGACTCTTAAACATAACTGTTTGTAAACTTGCAAGGCCAGTTTCTTTCATTAACTTGAAAGTTTGTTCATATAAAGTAATCTGACACCCATTTGGTTTGAGTTACCTCCCCTGAAGGGGAATGTGCCTTGTTGATTCGCTGTTAATCATCTCACATTTTCTGAAATGCTTTAAGCTTGTTGCTTTAAGTTTACCACACTTCCACTATCAGCCACTTACCTAAATCATAATCTTGATCCTCAACTGTAAACTAGCTTCCATGCAGTTGTTAGTACAGAAGGCTGTATAGCTGCTGCTAAAACTAAATAGCCTAAGAGTGCTACTGCCTACCAAAAGAAATATGCTAGAGATTTTTTCAGCGTGTGTTGTAGTTCAATCATTAGTGCAATCTAATTACACTAATAAGAAAAGTGATCTGAAAAGGCCACTGCACTCACAACTGGAATGTTGATATCTGTTAACTAGCTCATTCTCGTTAGCATCAGCTCCTAGGTGATGTTGACATCTGTTTTGGGCACTTGTAGTTACCTAAGGCAAAAAGTGTTCACTAACTTCACTAGGGATATACTTGATCCACTTGTCCAACAAATTAACATTCCTCTGGCCTACTTAGATAGCACTATATACTGGAGAGAATATTTTCCTTTGAGATAAGGAAGCCACAGATAACTTTTTTCAAAATGTCTACTCCAGAGTTCCACTTTCAGGCTGCACAGGAGAAAATGTGGTTTCTCTAAAATAGTAGCTCTTACTGCATACTTAATGTAGGCCTGTCATTCTTTGTTGCTCGAAGTGTCTTAATCTTGCAAGAAATTTTGTATCTTACCTACTAGAAAATGGTAAGAAATTGTAGGAAACTTTTTACTTGGAGCAACTTAGCCTTCAGCTGTTACATGATCAGAAGGAATAGGAAGCACAAAATGAGACGCAACTTTCCGGAGGCAAATGGCTAAAATTTGGCTAAAGTTGTTTCTCCCTTAAATTAAGACCTGATTGTTCTGTCAAGATAACATATCTCTTCGCAGTGGCACCCTAATAGTGTTCCTCTGCTTGGAAACTTGTGTTCATACAAGGGTTCCCATCCTTCTTAAAGCAGAAATCTGGAATGTGGGTAAGGTATTTACTGTATTTAGATCAGATGTATTACCCAACAGTGTCTCAAAAGTTAAAAAAACCTCATCCTATACTTCTGATTTTGCACATCCATCTACCTAGGTGTTAATACTTGTTTTATTTGGGATCTCACTCTAACACATAAATCTGCTATATTATAGCATTACAATACTATTGTGAAACAGTGCATAATTTATTCTTATCAATCACCATGAAAGCCTCACCTCTTCGGGTTTATTATTCTTGTAAACTTCTGGCTAACCTCAACGGTCAGCACCTCCAGCACTGTCTACGATTGTTTAAAAAAAGACTGTTTGGAAGACTAACAGTATTAATGGTCTGACTCATTCTTGCCATACAAACAAGGCCTCTTTGATGCCAAGCTAATTGCCCAATCAGCTGTTGTAGCTGAAAGCAGTAATTTAATATGGCAAAAAAGCTGCACAGGAATAATCCCTAGACAGTGATGAGGATGAGTTTTGATGCTTGCACCTCCAGGGTTCCCACCACCTCCTTTGCAGCCTTGCATGAGAGGAGTTTGAGACCTGTAAAGGGCTGAAAGGGTCTCTGTTGTGGCTTTGGATGGGGAGGCAGGGATGGCTGCTTTTTTCCTTTCTCTGCTGAAGAATGCTACTGGAACGTCACAGGTCCTAGAATGAGTTATGCTGAAGACTTCTTTGCTGTGAAAAGCAGCATCACTAGGTGAAAGAGGGGAATGTAATTGCTACTGCTGTAGTGTGTGCTTGTGGCTGTGACTGGACACCACTGTAGGGAAGAGTGTAACCTGACCACAGTCTTGTTTTTGTATTGTGTGGTTTTTTTTTTTCTTTCTTTAGAAAGGTCCTTCATTGTAACAGCAAAAAGGAGAAGTCTTGCAGTATGCCCCAGACTTCTCATCTACTGATACCTTTGTCAGCAGGTGGCGGTGGCTGAGGAAGGGTCCAACACATTTGGTCTAAAACAATTGCTTGCAGGGAAGCTGAGAAGAAAGCTTAGAATTTACTTGTTTCTGCTTGTGCCCCTGCTTTCACAGCTTCCTAGTAAGAGCCAGGTAGCATTCCCCAGCCTGTCTTCTGGATGAACACATTTAAAGAATGTAATGGGAGTCCCCGGAATAATGGGGACACTGATTCAAACCTGGCTGTCTTTCATACCCTGTTTTCTTCTTGCTGACAGCAATTTTCTTACATGGGGAGGCTAGTGAAAGCAAAAAGGTGGGTGAAACTTGTGCTGGAGCTTAATTGGTCTTGGCTGTGATGATTGGAGTGTCTTGGGTGTTCTTGACGACACACCTTTGTGCTCTTTAGATAGACTGATGTCCATTTGTTGTGGTTTAACACAGCAGGCAGCTAAATACTACACAGCTGCTTGCTCACTCCCCCTGCCTGGTGGGATGGGGGAAAGAACTGGAAGAGTGAAAATAACAACACTTGTGGGTTGAGATAAGAACAGTTTAATAATTGGAATAAAATACAATAATAATAATATGTAATGAAAAGAAAGATAACAAAAAGAGAGAGAAATAAAACCTAAGAAAGACAAGTGATGCAAATGGGGGGGGGGACCAACAAAAAAAAACCCAACAAAAACAATTGCTCACCACCCGTGGACCAATGCTCAGCCAGTCCCTGAGCAGCAGCCCCCCGGATAGCTTTCTCCTAGTTTAGATACTGAGCATGACATCATATGGTATGGAATATCCCAGTGGCCAGTTTGGGTCAGTTGTCCTGGCTGTGCCCCCTCCCAACTTCTTGTATATCTCCAGCCTTCTCAGTCAGTAGATATGAGAAGCTGTGTAAGCACTGCTCAGCAATGATGAAAACATCTTTATATTATCAACACTGTTTTCAGCACAAATCCAAAACACAGCCGCATGCTAGCTACTATGAACAAAATTAACTCTATCCCAGCCAAAACCAGCACAACATTCTAGAGGGATTTTATCCAGATCTTTCTAAGGAGGGGGGGGAATAAAACTTACCTTTATGTTATGTAGTCATCTCTTCCGAAGCAAACAAAAGTAAATGTATTTCTAACTTCACATTTGTTATACTTTCTAGGATGGCAAGGCCTTCTTCTGTGCCTTTTCCCATGGAGATCTGAGCAGATGTGTGCCATTCCTCAGAGTCATGCAGGTGCTCTGCAGGCTTGAAGGGAGAGGCTTTCAAACCAGTCAATACTGAAGTGGAGGTCTTATTTTCTTTTTCCTGTCCTTCTCCTCCTCCTTCCTGCATGCATTGGGTAGATTACCTGAGCACATGAAACAGCTTAATCCCTAGAGAGGAGCAGGTGTTAAGTGCTATGATCTCTTTTTCAAACATGCTAAACTACTTGAGGCAAATGAAGCGATGAATTGCTAAGAACACCAACCTTTCTCCCTTCCCCCCTCTGCCATTCTCCTCTTTTTCTAGTTGAAGATTTTGCCCCAAACTTAAATTAACATGGAGGAGAATCCACAGTCAGGTGTAGCGAGTAAGAGACTAGAACTAGGGTACAAAAATACTTTAACATAGTCATCACAGGCTAGCTCTAGGTTTGGCTGCTAACTCCTTTCCAGAAAGATGAGAATCTTACACAAGACCAAGATTTGGTGATTGCATCAATATTACCTCAAGTCAAAACTATTCCAACAACAGAGGTAAAAGTCTCTGTAACCCTGCCTGCTTTCCAGCAAGTAAAACTGAGCCCAGAATACTGCAGTGCTGACTTAGTGGAACTGTGCTGGAGCCTTCAATAAATCCCTGGAAATGTCTTGCCCATTATTTTGGGGAGGTTGAGATCTGCCACTTAAGTTTCTCAGCTTCCTTTGGGAGAGACACGTGTCCTTGCAAGATGAGATTTATGGATCCCAGTAGGAAAGCAGGAGGAATTCAACTGTGTCAAAACCACAGACATTTCACTTGCCGTCCCTGAACAGTGGCAAGGCCCTCTTCCCTTCTGTGTACAGTCTCGAAAAAATAACTTGTGCAAAGCTAATGAACAGTTTGATCTATGATCCAAATTCTTTCAGTGTTAGTGAGGTGTCATTAAAACCTTGAAGGGCCCTTATGTTCTGTCCAAATAGTCTTTGAAAAGCTTATTTGCTGTCTAGATTTGACAGCCCATACAGCACACACTGAAATGCTGATGACTATGATGTATTTTCATCTGCCTCCCTCTGAGGAACAAAACCTGGTATATGGAAAACTTTGCAACTCTGCTTGTAATGTAAAGGCACCAGGAGCAGTTTGCTAGAGGTGAATGATAATATAAAGTTTGTGCACTGGGACTTATCCTGCTTTCCTGCTTCTAGACTAAATAGTACCTGTACAGTTTTCCTGAACTGTTAGCAGAATACTATTAATAAGGTTCTCAGTGCTAACTGATGGGACACTTCACCTTCATCCTCGTGCTACAGGATAAGACACTGTAGTGTGTATACATCCTGATTGCTCTCATTCACTCACTGTCTAATCTCTTTTAAGAGGCCTTTGCCAAGTGACAGCCAGTTCACAAAAGCTCTCCCTACTACTAAATCATTACCTTCTTTTTTTTTTTTTAAATTTCAGGTTGTCTTTTGCAAGGCTGAGGTATAGCTGCCCTATTAACAGAACGAACAAAGCAGTCAGCATCACTGGCTGATGAGGGCTGTCTACATGTGCGTGAATTATCTTGTTCTAATGTAATGTTGTTCAGTCTCATACTCAAAACAAGTGAGAATGGTTCATACGAAGTCTCAGAAGTTTCATTTATAGTGCGGCACTCTAACACGTTGAATAAGCTGGTGTTACTCTGAGGTGTCGCTGAGTAAAGCACAAATCTGCAGTGGATATATAGGTCTTGGTAGTCCCTCATCGACGAACACAACTGCTCCATCGGTGAGCATTCATGATATTAGTCCATGGACTAATGTGTGTATCTCTTACCATAGCTAGCAGGTCAAAGGAGGGAGGAGATGAGCTTGACTACTTCTTTTCTATCTCTCTATGCCTTCCTTTTCTAGAAACCAAACCATTCATAGGTAATATCATATCAGCATGCTGTTTACAGTATACTAGAGCTACGGTTCTGTTGATAGTGTATTAAGGCTGCTGGCTTCCCCCTACAAAGAGATTCCTGGCATAGAGCTTGTACAAGATCCCCAGCGGGGTTTGGTGGGAGTAAAGTGCAGTAACTGAAGAGCTGGAGCCATCCAGAGAGCAAGTGAAGAGGTGGATTGCATTTAAAGGCTGATACTTGGCTCTCTCCAAATACGTGGCAGTTGCTGTCAGTCTGGAAATAAATATAAAATCTCTGCTGGAATTTAGCAGGTGGTTGTAGTGGCTAGGAGTAGCAAAGCAACCTAGTGCTGGACACAGTGCCAGTTCAAAGCTAGGAGAGCTGGTGTGTTCTCCAGAATGCAGTGGTTTTGATGTCTTGCTGTAGACATGTAGTGTGCTGGCGCTGCAGCATCACCTTCATTGCAAGATGGTCTTGATGCTGCAGGTAACTAAGTACAGCTCTCTAGGCTTCTGTGAGCCATGCTTCTCAGTGGGATAATGACAAGGGCCATCTACCTTTCAATCAGGGCTATCGCAATACCAGGCTCTTTAGCAGAGACGCCTAGTTGGTACACACTCATTAGTGCTTTTAGGCAGCTGCAATACGTGCTCTGCAAGCAGCCCCACGCAGTCAGCTTTCCAGGCTATGGGCTGTTCGAGGACTGGATAAAACATTTGCCAGGAGTTTCTCTGCATACTTCCCTTCTGTCTCAAACTTGTAATGGCAAGTTTAACTTCTCACCCTAAAGAATGAAAACTTTAAAGATTTAACTTAATGTTCTGGTATCTCTAATCATGCATACATGAACTTAATGTAAACAAACTCCTTTCTTGCTCTCAGAAATCAACAAAAGCAGTCCTTTGGCAAACCTAGCAATGGCTTATGTTCTAATTGTTTAGCCTTGAAGGAGTGTAATAAGCCTGTCACTTCTCAAATATGGGGCAGTGGTGAAACATTTTTTCACTCACGGTTAATGCACCTTGTAGAATAAACAAGTCATTAAATATCTTTGCTTTTACTTCTTGATGGCTAAAATAGTCTCGTCCTTGGAGTGAAGATTTCATACAGTCTTCCCAGCAAACTTGTAACTGCCAAGAGATTAAACATGGTGCACAGTACTCTCCACAGACTTCTCCCATAATGTTTATCTGAGCAGAACACGTAATGAAGTACGAATAGATCTTAAGAATACATCAGCCGCAAGTAATCATTTTTCTTATTGCTGGCTTTCCCACTGCTTGAAAGGCCAGAGGATCTTTCTCTCATGCTGGCTGCAAACACGATTTTGGGGATGGAGTCCCTATGCAAGGCTTGTCTGGCTTCACCCTTGCCAGTGATAGCTGTACTGCATTTGCTGCTAAGCTCTGAAGTGAGATGTTTTGGTGCACACTAAGTGTATCCTGTTCTTCTTTTCCAGACCACGCGAGCAGAGTTTGATTTGCCAGAGTATTCAGTCCGCCGGCGGTACCAAGACTTCGACTGGTTGAGAAACAAGTTGGAGGAGTCTCAGCCAACGCATCTCATTCCCGTAGGTAGTAAACAAGAATCTGATGTTAAGGACAGTTTTGCATCTGTCTTTCAAGGATGATATGTTGGTGATATGTCTCTTTAGATTTAAATACAGTACTTAATTCTCTTGTAGTATTTAGATTTGAATATGGTACT